TGAGCCCTGACCTTAGTTAGAGTCTGACCTTCTGCAGGTAGCCTTGACTTGTTTTGGTTCGTCTGTAGAATGTATTGGTTCTAGGCTGGGGAGGGGAAATTTTTCAATTTTTTAAATGTATAGTCAGTCCCTATTAGCTGGACGTTCGTTACCTGCCATCAGGTAACGATGGCAGGTAACAAACTTTGACTTTGATTTTACCTTGGTTCTTGCACCATGAGGATCAAGACCACATTGAAATAGTTTTCTTCGCTATTGAATGGCCAAAAAGAAAAAGTGAAAAATATTCCTGATGAAATATATCAGAGTGTTCCAAACACCCTGAAACACTTCAGTGCAGACAGTTAGAAAGTGCTTTGCCCCAGAAGCTGACCAGACAAGTTGTATTCAAGAGACCAGACAGACCCACACCCACCCCATTTTCGACCTGGCAAGGTGATCATATGAATGTTGTAAAAATATTTGCAATGTTTTAAAAACAGGTTTTTTGCAACATGTTGGGTGAACTTTGAGACCCACAGGACCCCTTTGGAAGCTCTTTGGTCTCTTGCTATTTATTTCCCTCTCTACACTGAAGGGGGTGACTAGAAGCACAAATTGTCTATCCTTCCCCTCCCTCAGCCGCCGTCTACTTTGGTTCGTTGATGCTAGCGACTTCCAGTGTGACTTGGATTTTCTTTGTCCAATTGGTGGTTATAAGAAGTGAGCTCCATGACAAGTAGGAAAATTGCCTCTGCACAGAACTAGGCTTGGCTCACAGCAGGAGCTTAGAGAATACAGGTAACCCCCACTTTTTAAAAAATCCTCACCCAAAGATATCTGTTGATTTGAGAGAGAGAGAGAGAGAGAGAGGAAGGAACGGGATTGAACCTGCAACCTAGGTATATGCCCTAACTGGGAATCGAACCCTCCACCTTTTGGTGAACAGGATGATGCTCCAACTAACTGAGCCATCCTCCAGGGCCAGGTATCCCTCACTTTTGGTTCACATTATGCCATTTTGCTTTTGTCAAAAACCTACATTAGTACCTGTTTTCACTAACTGAAAGAAATTTGAAGAGGATTTTTGCTTTTACGAAAAAAGGTGAAAAGTGAAAATGGCATTCAGCATTTGTTCTGCAATAAGCCAGGTGCTTGCACCGAAGGTAGCCCAGCTGAGCTCCTTCCCCAGGAGCCACACTCAGCATCTCAGCATCAAGCCACTGTAGCTTTGAACTATGTTTGTGAGCATCTGGGCTTTCTCTTGATGTTGTTCATCCATTAACAAGATGTATCCTAAGGTATCAGAAAAAACCTAAGAGAGCTCACAAGGGTGTTAAGTTTAGGGTAAAACTGGGTGTAATTAAGCATTTAAAAAATATATTTTTATTGATTTTTTTTTTTTAAGAGAGAGAGGAAGGGAGAGATAGAAATATCAATGTGAGAGTGAAACATGGATCAGCTGCCTCTTACATGCCTCCTGTCTATGTGCCCCCCTACTGGGAATCGAGTCTGAAACCCAAGCATGTGCCCTGACCAGCAAGGGACAATGCCCAACCCAACTGAGCCACACCAACCAGGGCTAATTAAGCATTTTGATTGTGGTGAAATAATCACATTGTGTGTGCATTGAACTTGCCTGTGTCTACCATTCGTATTATTTACACATGTGCAGAGAGCAAGGATCTTGAAAGCTGCCTAAATTATTATTGGTTCTGCTAGTAACAAAGTGGTCTCTCTCAGTTGATGTTCAGTAATAGATAAATTGGAAAGCCTGTTGCTTGAATTGGATTGGTAGGTGGTGCAAAGTGTGGTGTGTATTTTATCATATCACTAGAGGCCCGGTGCACGAAATTCGTGCATGGGGGGTTGGGGGGAAGGGAAGGTCCCTCAGCCCGGCCTGCACCTTTTCCAATCCAGGACCCCTCGGGGGATCTCCAACTGCCGGTTTAGGCTTGATCCCTGCAGCCTAAACCGGCAGTCGGACATCCCTCTCATAATCCAGGACCGCTGGCTCCTAACTGCTCGCCTGTCTGCCTGCTTGATCGCCCCCAACCTCCTCTGCCTGCTGGCCTGATTGCCGCCTAACCGCTCCCCTGCTGGCCTGATCACCCCCAGCTGCCCTCCCCTGCTGGCCTGATCACTCCTAACCGCCTCTGCCTCAGCCCCCACCACCGTGGCTTTGTCCAAAAGGAAGTCAGACATCCAGAAGATGTCCGGTTGACCCGGTCTCATTAGCATATTACCCTTTTATTAGTATAGATTCCTGATTTTACTATATGTTAGGGTTAAAATTTGTTGTTGTTAATCCTTGCCTCAGGATATTTTGCCATTGATTTTTAGAGAGTATAAGGAAGGGCAGGGAGGGAGGAGGAGAGAGGGGCGGTGGGTGGGGGTGGGGGTGGGGAAGGAGGAGGAAAGGGAGAGAGAGATGTGAGAGAGACACATCAATTGGTAGCCTACTGCATGCACCCAACCACCTGGGCCAGGGATGGAACCTGCAGCCCTTCAGTATACAGACCAGCGCTTTAACCACTGAGCAACACCAGCCAGGGCAATGTTAGGGTTATTTTAGGTTGTATGTATTACTTGGTATGTTATTTTTTGGGTCTGGGAACACTCTTTTTTTTTAAAATATAGAAATTAATGATAATTTCTTCTTCATTTTACGGCATTTGGTTTACAAAAGGTTTCATACAAACTCTACTTTTAGATAGTGGGGGCAACCTGAACTGGCTAACTGCAAGAATGGATTGGATTCAAGGAGAGGTGAATGGATGCATATGTCTTCTGAATATGTGGTCCTAGTAAAGATATTTTAAATAAAATTTAAGAAATAGAAATTATAATTATGTTTTTTTAGCCCCAAATTCTTGGGCCTCAAAGAAGTGTTTCAGCAATTTGATTTTATGGGATAAAAAAAATTCTGAGAAGTAATTGTTACGTGGAATTTATTTAATGTATCTAATTCTTTCTGAAAATACAAATTCTTGCTTCAGATCGGAGTTTTGGATAATAACTACAAAAGCCTAGTTGAAAATCAGCCCTAGCTGGTTTTGCTCAGTGTATAGAGCATCCGCTTGCGGACCAAAGGGTCCTGGGTTCATTTCTGGTCAAGGGCACGTACCTCGGTTGTGGCCTAGGCCCTGGTGAGGGTGCATGCTGGAGGCAACCGATCGATGTGTTTCTCTCTCATAGATATTTCTCTCTGTCTTTCCCTATCTCTTACATTCTCTCTAAGAAGTCAGTGGAAAAATATCCTCGGGTGAGGATTTAAAAACAAAACCCTAGTTGAAAATCAGAAATGCCCTTTATATTAAAAGTTTACTGAGCTGCCATCTTACCTTAATTAAGTCATCAGAACTCAAAGTTGAGCCTAACTAGGCTTCTTGAAGAATTTTTTTTAATTCAAGTTGAATTTGAGTTTTAGTGGAATTTAAATTTGTTTCTGTTTACTCAAGTAAAGCAAATAGAGCAAAAATGGCTGCTAGAATATGTTCACTTTCAAAAAGGTGAGAAATATCAGCTGAAAAAGCTACATGTGGAAACCACCTGTATATATGAAAATGCTCAGAACGAGGACATTTTTGTTACACTAGATTGTTTTTATTTGTGTTTTTATATGGACATTTCAGCAGAAAAGGGTTAGTTGTATGGAGCATTGCTTTGTTTGCAACCTAGAATTTTAGAGCTTCAAGAAATAATGCAATTCATCTTGTTCAAGACACAGGTCTTACAAATGAGGATCTAAGTTTATAGAAGGGGAATGTAAGTTACCCAGTGTGACGGCTAGAGCAGGCTGGAGCGAGAGCTCTTGAATGAGTACAACTTACTCTAGGAGGTCTTTCCTGGAGGGCCCCTTCCTCCCAGTTTTCAAACATCCAACACACCAAGATACCTGGAAAGTAGAGTGAGCAGTACACAGCAGGTGGAATGCTACAACTTTGAGAAAGAGCACAGGCAGGCAATGAGAAAAGCCAGTCTTTTAATGATTGGTTTCTGTTTCTCCAGAGGAGAGGCGGGTGAGCATCAGGATATCAATTTGAGGTTTCCCAAATTCACTCCTGTGGAGGTTGGGGCTGAGGTGTCCAGAGGGAATCCTGTTGACTGGAAGAGATTCCTGACGTGTGTTGGTTACAGGCCCTTACAGAGGCATAGGTGGGAGTTCCTTCTTCCTGTTTTTGCCTTTATCTAGTATATATTTTATATTTTTTCACTAATTTTATAATGGGAAATTTCACTAGGTTATTTTTTTTTTTTTAATCCTCACCCGAGGATATTTTTTCCATTGATTTCCAGAGAGAGTGGATTGGGGGGGGAGGGGGAACATCTATGTGAAAGACCATTGATTGGTTGCCTCCCACACGCCCCCACTGGGTCTAGGGAACTTGCAACCTAGGTACATGCCCTTGACCAAGAATCGAACCTGAGACCTTTGGTTTGCAGGCTGAGGCTCTAACCACTAGGTCAAACCAGCCAGGGCCTCACTAGGTTATTTTAAAGCAAATCCCAGACATTATATCATTTCTTTGTCAGTGTTTCTACTGCATGTTTTAAACTAGTAGAAACTTAGCTTCAATCTGATGGGGATACCTGAAAGAAACTATTTACTTAGAGAGTAATTAAGCTGAAGGAGCTTCCCTTTATTAATGATTCTAGAAGGTTTTGTTCTCTAAATGATTTTCTTAATGCATTAGTGCCACTGTTGGGGTGGGGGAATTGGGTGGTGAGTATGGCTGAGGGTAAGGATGGGAAATTGCTGGCTCTTATGAGGAGGAGACAGATGTAGCTGTTGAGAACAGCTTTATTAGCCTTCTGCCTTAGTGTGTCACTGTTTGAGCAAGTTGCTCTGTTCATAATTCTGACTTGAACCCTGAAAATAAGCCTTTAATTTGTAATTGATATGAAGCTTTTATAGGAAATAACAGTTTTTGCTTCCCTGGGTCAAAGTGAGCATACCTGAGACTCTTTCTTTTATATGTGATTTTCCCAATACCTGATGTTGCCTCTTTTTGTTTCAGATGGGAATGACTGGTAACACAAGTCCATTTGGACAACCCTTTAGTCAAACTGGAGGGCAGCCAATGGGAGCCCCTGGAGTGAACCCCCAGTTACCCAGCAAGCAGAATGTGGTCACTAGTTTGCCTCCCTTCCCTGCAGACATCAAGAATGCTTCAGTCACCAACGTGCCAAACATGGTAAGTTGCCCTTGGCTCTCAGGGCTTTGCTGGGTAGATTTTATTGTGCTGATAGTAAAGATCTGTAACTAAAAGTGTGTTGTAGGTGATAAGAAAATAACCCATATTTCTTATGAGTAGCTCTCTCTCAGGGAGTTTACATTTTCTGTGATGAGCTGGCAATCAGAGGGCTAGGTAGAGGTTATTCAGTCAGTCCTCCCAGGTTCCCTTTGTGGAGAGAGAGGGTTCATGACTGTGAATCGCTGTTCCTTTCTCTTCAGTTACCCTCTTGATTCAGTAGTATAGCCAAGAGAATCAAGAAGCAGGCTTTTCTCACACTTTCTATCTGTTAGTGGTTGAGGCTGTCAGTAGAAACCCATTGATTTTTGTTACAGTCAAACAAAGAGCATTCATCTTCCAAGGACTATATCGTGTCTGTGAGACATGGTATGTCTGACTTGTTATAGGGGTTCACATGTCTTCATTCTCTCTGAGATTTCACCTATAAAATAGGGATTATCCTTGTAACCTCTCGGCCTAACTAACCAAGATATTTTGGGAAAATAGCTCCTTTTGCACTGCAAAATAGACTCTCTTTTCATTCCAAACAGTAAGGGGAGGTGTGTGTGTTTTTGTTAGACCTCACTGTGCACTCGCAGCTTCTAAATGTTTGAGGCTGGAAACAGCCAAGTCTTTTCTTCCCTGCGCTTGTTGCTGGGAACCTGCCCTTCCAGGATTGTCTAGTTTCAGCCATACACATCCAGAACCTAAAACAAAGCCTCCTTCTCCCCTAGCTTGCCCTTCAGAGCTCTGGAGGCAGCAGTCTGCATCTGGCACCTACATTCTCCCTAATCTCACCTGCCTTTCCTTTTCCATTCCTCATTAGGAGGATGGTAGCATGGACTCCAGTTCTAGCAGTCATCACCTGAGTTTGCTCAATGACCTGGAGCACATTTTGGTTTCAGAGTAAGAGCATTTGCTTTTCCACAGCCATCCTGTATTTTATAATCTGGTAAACTCTGACTTAATATTTTCCTCCTTTTCTCTTTTCAAATCTTTTCCAGCCTCACTTCCCTATCCCCTCTTTTTTACCCACAACTTGGTGATGGAATCCTTTTACTCCACATTCCCTTCCTTCCTGTGCTGATCCAGGGGACTGAATTTCTGAAAGTGGTACATTTATCAGGGTCAAATTCAGACTTGACTAGAAAGAGGCGTCTGGTTCCCTTCACCTGTGCCAGGGCTAGTGGGGACAGCCCTTTGGTCTGGAGCAGGGCTTCTCTCTCCCTCTGCACTGTTGACAATTGGGACTGGATCATTCTCTGTGGTGGGGGATGCCCTGTGCATTGTGGGATGTTCAGCAACATCCCTGGCCTCCACCCACTAGATTTCCCATAGCACTCTCCCCCTTCCCCCTTTCTTTTTCCCACAGTGGCCCCTGGTGAGAACCCCTGCTCTGGTGTCTGGTTAGGGGAAGCAGTAGCAACAGCACCTCATCCTTTTGTCTGTTTTTGTGACATCTAACAGAAATAAACCCAGTTTTTCCCCTCTTACCTCTTTCTTTGTCCCTACCTCTCCTTTTCTCTACCCATTCCGCCTGTCATCTGCACTGCTTTTCCAGCTGCCACTTTCCCACCAGGAGGGCAGACTTTGAGTGAGCTCCTCAGACTTTTACCAGGGCAGGGAGTGGTGCTTTACCTGTGTGTGTATGCTTGTGAGGCAGAGTAACCCAGGCATAGCCTTCATGCTGTAGAAGCAGGAACGAGAGGGGTCTGGGCAGAGAAGTGGGACGACATCTCAGTGCCATCATGTCATGTTCTGTGTTTTATCTTATTCTTGCAACAGTCTCTTTGAAAGACATCATTACATGTCCCATTTTACAGATGAGGAAATTGAGGGTCTGAAGAGTTTTAGTTTGTTCAAGGTTCAGTAGCTTCCTGTCTGCAAAGCCCAGAGCCCTTTTTAATTATGTCTGGTGTCATGTTTTGGCAGCTCCCAGTCCAGGGAGTGCTTTACTAAGCACTGTGTTTCCATCATTTGTTTGCAGTTCCTTGAACATGTTCTTCCTTGAATTTTCTAAATTGTGCCTGACCCTTTGGAATCATAGATTTTGGCACAGCGAGGGAAAGCAGTTAACAAAAATCTAAGTCTCATTAATGAAAAAAGAAAAATACGAAGCCTTGAATTTATTTATGTGTTTTGTCATGCTATAGGGAGTAATCATTTGAAGCCCAACTTGATTCAGTGTACCAAACAGGGTCAGGATTCTGATGCCTTATTAGAGCTCTTCATGGAATGATTTAAACCACTTGGTCATTGCCTTTCTCCTCTCCTCATTTCTAGAGGATTTCAACAACATTGGGCCGAGTTAAGAAAGTGGGGAGGTGACCATTCCTTTAATTTGCCACGTTTATTGCATGCCATCTCTGGGCCTAGGTGCACCTGGAATGCAGATGTGTGTGACATAGATTTTACCTTCTTTCATGAAATTGGGGGGAGGTGGTGATGGAGAAAAAATAATTACAAAACCAACTGCCCCAACAGGTTTGAGTAGTATGCAGTAGTTGAAGTTGACACAGGAACCTCCTTAGATGGAGCCATTGGAGTGGCTGTACCACAGAGGGAGATTTGAGGGCAAGATCAGGAGAGCAAAAGCCATGAAGACACCAGGGCACTTGGTTGGAGAGCATTGGCTTGTGTAGGAACTGGCAGACGTCCAGTGGGAAAGGTGGCTCTCAAGTGAGGGGAGAGCAGTGGGAGTGGATGTTGGGGATCAAATAGGAGCCAGTTCAGAGAGGGCCATAGGGTGGTAGTGACTACTGCAGTGGTCTGGGCGAGAGGAAATGGTAGTTTGGATGTGGTTGATCACAGTAGGGACAGGAGACTAGATGACAGTCGCCACTAGATTATGTGGAGTCATCATGTGAGGCGACTTGTTGGGTGGAACCATTTACAGAGCTGGGGAGGAACAGACTTGGAAAGGGATGACAAAGAGGTGGGCATCAGTAATTCCACTTCAGATGTGTTCCTTTTGAGATACTTGTGAGATGTCCAGGTGGGGATGTCAGGCACACCGGTGGGCTTACAAATAGGGTATCTGCTATCCATGTGGGAGCTGTGGTAACCATAATGCAGCAAGGGCTGTGAAGTGAACAAGATCATGCAGGGGGAGAAAACCAGAGAGAGAGCAGGTCAAGAAGGAACCACAAAGGGGACAGCCAGGGGATGATGTCCTGCAGTTGAAAGAGGAGGATGTTTGAACAGAAGGAATTGGTGCAGTGGAGGTGATTAAGATGAGGGCAGAAGAGCATCACTGGGATGTGCAGGTGAATCTGTGGGTAAATCATTGTCTACTGAGAGTTAAATGTAACCTGTAGTCATGGAGACCTACAGATGAGAGTGCTCTGTTGTCATCTTCTGGGATAGGATGGCTGCAGGAGCTCTGAAAAGTTCAGGGCTCCTGTTGCATATGGGGTCATTGTTGAGGGCATATGTATTCTCAGTACAATGTTCAAAAGCAAGTAGCACATACTCCTAAATGTTCTGATGTATCTCATTGATGTATCTGTCTTTGACCATTTTATTTGTAATTTCTTACCTTTCTACAATTTTGGAAGTCAGAAATTTCCCTATGTTATCTATACTAACAAAAGGGTAATATGCTATTTAGACCGGGAGACTGTCCAGGGAGGGCAGTTGGGGGCCATCAGGCCAGCCAGGAAGGGCAGTTGGAGGCCATGAGGCTGGCAGGGGAGGGCAGTTGGTGGCGATCAGGCCTGAGTGGGGTGTTAGGGGTGAGCAGGCCAGCAGCGGGGAACAGTTGGCAGCGAGCAGGCCGGCAAGCAGAGTGGTTAGGGGTGATCAGGCAGGCAGGCAGGTGAGCGATTAGGAGCCAGTGTTCCCAGATTGCAAGAGGGATATCCGACTGCCAGTTGTGGGATCAGGACTAAACCGGCAGTTGGACATTTCCTGAGGAGTCCCATATTGGAGAGGGTGCAGGCCAGGCTGAGGGACACCTCCTCCCCTCATGCATGAATTTTGTGCACTGGGCCACTAGTACATAGGAGACAGCGGTCCCGGATTGCGAGAGGGATGTCTGACTGCCGGTTTAGGCCCAATCCAGCAATCAGACATCCCCTGAGGGGTCCCAGATTAGAGAGGGTGCAGGCCAGGCTGAGGGACATGGCCTCCCCGTGCACGAATTTCGTGCACTGGGCCACTAGTCTATATAATAAAAGCCTAAATGACGGTTATGACAGAATGACCAGAACAACCGGTCACTATGATGCACACTGACCACCAGGAGGCAGATGCTCAATGCAGGAGCTGCCCCCGGTGGTTAGTGCACTCCCACAGGGGGAGCGCCATTCAGCCAGATGCCGGGATCACGGCTGGCGAGCGCAGCGGCGGGGGTGGGAGCCTCTCCTGCCTTCATGGCAGCGCTAAGGAGCAGCAAGCCAAGCAGTAAGGAGCAGCTATCAGGTGGGCAGTAAGGAGTGAGGGGTCCCAGACTCTGAGAGGGCTCCCATACTGCAAAGAGGGCGCAGGCTGGGCTGAGGGGCACGCACGCATGCACGGATGCACAATTATGTGCACCAGGCCTCTAGTATTTCATAATTATAAGATGCACATGTGTTCTTTTTACATTGTAGCATATATGAAAACAGGACTTTTAGAAACAGTCAAGTTTTAGAGTTTATAAAATACAGTATGTATGCTCTTTTAGTTGCTCATAATTTGAATTGACAACACTATTAAACATATATTCACTGTACAGCTTTCCAGGACAGCTTACATGGATAAAAGAATTTTAAAGGTATTTAAATTTTACTGCCCTAACTCCGTGGTCGGCAAACTGTGGCTCGCGAGCCACATGCAGCTTTTTGGCCACTTGAGTGTGGCTCTTCCTAAGCCTTAGGAGTACCCTAATTAAGTTAATAACAATGTACCTGCCTATATAGTTTAAGTTTAAAAAATTTGGCTCTCAAAAGAAATTTCAATCGTTGTACTGTTGATATTTG